TCAGGCCCAGTAAACACATGAGCCTGAATCTCTCCTCACTTATATTTCTATTAACTGTAATGGAATGATTCCTGATTTATACATGTACCTTTGAGAGGAGAATCCAGCCCATAAAACACAGGGTTTTATTTTCCTTTTCCACCCTCCCTCTTAAATCATTTTTGCTCAAGAGACTGCATGAACTTAGTGGCAACCCAGATCCATGTCTACACTAGCACTTAGATCAGCAAAACTTTAGTGCTTGTGTGCCCAGCGCTATGTCAGTGGAAAACACTCTGACTCAGACATAGTTACCGCCACTCGTTGAGCTGGTTTTATTATGTTGAAGGGAGAGCTCTCTCCCATTGGCATAACACGGCTAACGAGAGATCTTACTGTAAGCTTGTAGGTGTAGATATTGTTGCCTGACCCAGAACTGGGCCCCGAGATGGCAAACAGGGGGTTCGTCGCCCGGTGTGCTTGGCACCAATAAAGACACCGAGGGGAGAAAGCAAGCCAAGTTTATTTCAGAGCTCTGAAATGGCACTAGGAGACCAGCATATCTCAAATCCAGTGCAACAAATACAAACAACTTTTACCTTTTATACTTCAAACTGTTTGCATACATCTCTTTCTCTGGCTGTTCCCCCTTACCCCTCCCTTCCAGACAACTGTTACAATAAGCTCTACATAAGCTTGTGAGAAAACTTTCCCAGTCTTTGTGACCTTGAGTTAGACGCCTGCAAACTAACTACCCCGCTTCTTATCTCTCTTATTTCTGCTAGTGTGAGTGAAACTGCAGCCATCTGCTAAAAAGCTGACATTACATTTCTGCTTCAGCCTACTTCAGAGCATGTAAGCAGTTAGCATAGAAGTAGGTGAGAGTTCCCAAGATGGAGTTTGGGGGTTCAGATAGGCCCAGAGCAAAAGAGCTTCATCGGCACTTTTGGCCTTCCACTCTCCCGAGTTACCTGGTAGCTATGCCTAGTGGACCCCAACAATATGGAAGGATCTATATGCTGTCACAAACTCTTTTCCGTCAGGGTTCCTTTGGCAGAACTTTCTGCTTTGACACTGCATCTCCCTCTTGAGAGAAAGATCAGTGAAGAGGAGGTGAGTAATAAGGTGGTGGAAGGTGTTTCTTTAGTAACTTGCATGTCTTTGTCACAGGAACAAAATAAAATAACCCCAAATTACTCAAGGACAAAAGAACTTGAAGAGCAGAAAAGGGAGCACGAATGGGGTGCATGGGCTACTGCCCAATATGAGAGAGAATGAGCACACCTTTTCAGTTAGGAGGCTAGCAGTAAGGATAAGGAGATCTCATCTAATCCTCGCTGAGATGTTTTATGTATACAAATAAATGGAAGGGCTGACACTGGCCGTATTAACTCAGGCTTAGCCTATGCTTCCTTTCAAGGCTTGTATTGCACAGCAAAGCAACCAGTGGAGACAACATACAGTTTAAAAAAAGACACCCTTTGTAACAGTGTCACTGAATCTGTAAACAGATTATTTGATTTCCCTTTCCCACAGCTGCAAAAATTAATAGATGGTGAATATTTATGAGGAGAGTTCCATTGTGGGTGTGTAGATGAGGTTTGAGCAACAAAGCAACTCAATTAACTTTCTGATAGCACATGGAGAGATGATGCAGAATTGCACTGTGTGCACGACATGCAGAAACGAAACACTGAAGCATGCTGTTTTAAAAAAAAAATCAGAACAGCCTAATATACTTGGTAAACCAAACCAAACCAGCTAAACTTTCCCACTGCATGTAAAAGCTGCTTATATGACGTGCTGTGCTGTGTTTTCCCCAGTGGAGGGAACTGAGATCTCCATTACAAACGCATTTCTCTGCAGCAGGTTCTATGGCACAAGTAAATTCATGTGAGCAGCCTTAGTGATGGTGCCTTCATTTTGGACAAGAGTCTTATTTCCACTGGAAGGCAATTGGTGGAATTCACTTGGTCATCAAGATTATTCAATTCGATTTTCTCCAAGGCAAGAAAACAGCATCCCCCTACACTTGTGAAACATCTGTTGTGCTCATGCCATGGTCTTTTAACATACCACAAAGTCAGAGCCCAAGGCAATCAAAATAAATCAAACAAACAAGCAAGCAAAGGATAAGATTTCCAAAAGTGTCCAGTGATTTAAGTTTTTAAGTCCAATTTTCAGAAGTGACTTCAGACTGACTTTCACTGATACCTAGGTTCCTAAATCACTTTTGATAATGGGACTTAGAAGCCTAAATCACGTAGGTCCTTTTGAAAATTTTACCTTAAGTAAACAGAGAAGACGAAGTACAGGCTACTCTGAATCAAATAAGACTGCTCTGAACAGAAGCTCTGTAAAAATGGTATTGTGGACTTGCACATTTGTAGTCTTCTAATAATTTCCATATCAAATTTCTTCAGATGACAAGACAGGGCTTTTTCTAACTGCCAGCCCTGTAGACTCAACTTGAACTGTGAGAGCCAAGATGGGCTTTACCCTTCATTGCAGGGCCGGCTCCAGGCACTAGCTGAGCAAGCCGGTGCTTGGGGAGGCAGATTGTTCGAGGCGGCATTCTGCCCAATCCTAGGGCGGCACGGCTGCTTTTTTTTTTGGTCCACTCCGGCCGCCCTGTAGGGGGCGGCGGCGTGGAGAACCAGAGCGCCCTGCAGGGCAGTCCTCTTCCTTCCCTCCCCGCCGACCGGAGCGGAGCCCTCACGGCAGGCAGCAGGAGGCGGCGCAGTGGGAGGGGCCACGTGGCAGCACCCCCGCTGTAGCCCTGGCCGCCCCCTTCTCTCTCTCTCTCCCGCCCACTCCCTCCCCCGCCCCTCCCCAGCCGGTCCCCCTGCACCTATGCTCCGGCCGCGCTGCTAGGTTTTTTTTTTTTTTTTTTTGCTTGGGGTGGCCAAAAAGCCTGAGTCAGCCCTGCTTCATTGCCATCACTACTGATAAAAGTTCTACTAGCCATATTACACTCTCTGTACATAAACCTGTACAGCTCCATTGTCTTCAGCAGATTTGCACAGGTATAAATTATTGGAAATTAGCAAACAATTTTGTTGATGCATGATAATAGACTCCAGTTCACTCTCTTAGGGTACATCTACACTACAGCGGGGAGTCGATTTAAGATACGCAAATTCAGCTATGTGAATAGCGTAGCTGAATTCGACGTATTGCAGCCGACTTACCCCGTTGTGAGGACGGCGGCAAAATCGACTTCTGCCGCTTTTTGTCGGCGGCGCTTACTCCCACCTCTGCTGGTGGAGTTAGAGCGCCGATTCGGGGATCGATTGTCGCGTCCCGACGGGACGCGATAAATCGATCCCGGAGAGGTCGATTTCTACCCGCCGATTCAGGCGGGTAGTATAGACCAGACCTCAGTGGTATTAACTCTTTGAGGCTAACAGGAGAAAAAAAATTATTGTAGTTGAAAGTGATTGCATGACATTCTGAATTTACACAAGGAACAGATCCTCTGAATGAGAAAGTGCTATTTGTCATTAGTCACTCAAAGTGACTACACTTTAAAAAGACAACTGTATTCAATCTGAAAGATCATGTAGTATGAACACTGTTCACTATGCATGAATTCTGAGGGGAAAGGAAAATAATGTTAAAGTCAATAGTGGTGACTTACAGCTCATTATTGACATTTGTCATCTTATTGAAAGGTGATACAGTCTCTCTCTCTCTCTCTCTCACACACAACAGATTATTTGATTTCCCTTTCCCACAGCTGCAAAAATTAATAGATGGTGAATATTTATGAGGAGAGTTCCATTGTGGGTGTGTAGATGAGGTTTGAGCAACAAAGCAACTCAATTAACTTTCTGATAGCACATGGAGAGATGATGCAGAATTGCACTG